AATACTTTTAAGAATGTAAATAACATTGCAACCAAGAAAAAGCACGAAGTTCGATATATGCTTATCCTCCCTCATAAAGATTGCCCCATAAGTCTAGTTGTAGTACAGCACAAATTCTGGAATTTGCAGGACATAACCAGCACTAAATATGTGCCAGGTTTGGTTAACTTTACAGTTGGTGGATAGGGGAAGGTGTTGGTAGCTCACGTTGACTAACCGCGTGGATATAGTTGTAAAATAGAAGGCTATGTTGTATGGCCATTCAACTTAATAATTAGTAAATTAAATATTCTATGTTTACAACAAGTTATTATTAAAATTAAAAACGAAAAGAAGAATGAAAACTTTTTTTTAATAATTGTCAAATTTACACTGTAATTAATATCCATGTTTTGTTAGTGAAATTTTTGTTTCATTAAATGTAATAAGCTTAATATAATTGAATTACATCGATGGAGAGTTTATAGAAATATTTTAATGGTGATATATATAATTTTGCGGGAAGTCCCTTTAATATCACGTGATAATATAATAAAGTGTGATTAACCAATTATTTTGCTGGTTTTGGTTTCTGTGATAAAAGTGAAGTTATCATATTGTCGAAAATAAATGTAAATCGTAAGATTGTAAATAAGAGGTAAGTGAATCGAGTGTAATACTAGTAATACGATTGTAAGGCTGTTGCAAACTGTGTACTTGAACCGTCAAGGTGTGTTGTATTTGTTTCATGTATAGATCGAATTCAGTGTTATGCATATAGCGAAATAATGTCTGTGCGTACATGTCTTGTACTGTTATAGTTATAACAAGTTTATTACTTTAAATTGTCTTACTCAGTTACTGTTTCTTAATATTAATAGTTACTACTATTAATCTTAGTTACGTTTAGTTGTACTGTTTAAGTGTTTTAACTTTTATTTGAGCTCTAACTATGGGGTAAAAATTAATAAAGAATATTCTGAATGTGAGTTAACACTAATATAGAAATTATGTTTAAATCATTTTCCATTCTTATCAGTTTATTCCACGATGAAGTGCTACGGAGCTCTGTTTGATATCATATGCAATCTATAAGATATATCCAGACAATTTTGGCATAGTAAGTAATATGTCAATACTAGATCTTCATATTTTTGAAAATTACTTGTAAATTCTCAGGTCCCAAAGAAATAATTTGGAAATATATGAAATTTTGAGGTGAAGTATCTCGGTCTCTATACTGACAGTCAGTGACACTGACAGTTAAAAGTTTACCAAAGCTGAAAGAGGCTCCTCATAATGCTTCTAACAACTGATATGATGAAATGTTACTTCATAGAAAAATTGCATAACCTATTCTACATATGTAAGGTACTTCCTATACAAACCACTTCTTGAATACTGGTAACCTGTTACAGTGTCGGAAGTGGCCACATGGTCATGTCATTCTTGCTTCTGTTAGTTGTAGATGGAAGGATTTGGTTAATATTTATTTGGTTAAGTTTTTGAAATATGTAACATAATGTTTTGTAGAAATCCATACAAATATATATATATAAAGATACAGTAGGACATTTTATAGGAAAGAACAGAATGCCTGTTTTTTGAAAAACCTCTTTCTTTATTTTTTATATTCAAAGATATGTATGTTTAAGCAGATGTTTAGAATATTTTTTTCTATTGATACTAATAATACAGAAAGAAAAAATTAATTTTTTTGTTTGTGAAGTACAAGGTTTTAATTAATAATACAGCTTATTTATACAACTTCTGAATTAATGAGCAGTATTTTGCACTTGATTAACTGACCTATTAAAATAAACTGCTTTTGATCTAATTTTAGTTGTTATGGCTGAAATCGAGAAACCTCCTCCTTACCCTGTGACCTCAACCAATCCCGAGAGATCAGGTATGTGTAAACTAATTCATTGACAGTTTTGAATCATAGTTTTCTGTAGCTGTCAAATAATTAAATTTCTAAATACGGGAAAATGAACTGTAGTTGGTTAAAGAAAAAACATTGAGAAAGGAAATATGATGAAAGAATGTATTAATTCTAAGGCACACTTTTACCTTAAAATAAAACTTGTGTGGAATCACACAATACCAACATTATGTTTAAAATAACATGCAATAACTGTCCAGAATTGTACATTAGAGAAACGGGAAAAAAATTGGAAACGAGATTCACCGAGCATAATAATAATGAAAAGAACCAAAGATCAATAAATGCAAGATAAAGGAAGCTATCGTAATTTAACAAAACAGCCCTACCCTAAACCAACACCTTGTGGCATCAAGATATCTTTACTAAGCTGTTAAGTGACCAGTCATGTGACCTCTTTGTTCCACGCTGTATATATATTCATGTGTGTCTGTAAACTACTTGTACTTGATGATGACATAATCTTGTCGAAATGTACATTTATAATAAATTTTGTTCATTATCTATTCAAGCTCTTACCTTGATTTTATTTACGTCTTGATATTTTATAGCCAGATTTCTGCTGTATTTGAGGAAACTAGCAGATAAGAGCTTACCAGTAAAAATATTACATGATATGTTATTAAAGGCTAATCTGAAATATATCTAAGTAGGTTGCTTGATTTCATATTACATATTTTTATTGTTCTGCAGCCTTTCTCCTTTGCCATTTTAAAATATGAGCAAAAAGTATATAGTCTTATGTATATAGCTGAATGCTTAACTGTAATCTGAACTACTTTAAAACAATGAGAAATACACACGTTTTGTTATTCACTTAGTAACCATTTGTAATATACAAGGAAGACATTTACATCTTTGTTTCAGCTGTGAGGGTACTCATCAGTTGTGCCTGAATAACAGTACAGAATTTACAATGACATGGTGCACATGCAGTCATGTTACCTTATCCAAGAATATAAAACTGACCTTTACAAAATGATCTGTCTTAGCTGTGTTTTAGTAGGCTAATATTTTGTAAAATACAGTCACATTTCAGTTATTATACATTATATGTGTATATAAATTATTAATATTTACAAATAAGTTAAGCTTATTTTTCCTAAAACATAGAACAGTAAATAAATAAGTAAAACAAACAATTATCTCTTTTAAGTACGACTTTTGTACTTGTTTGTTGCTTGTTGTAAATTGCTAAGCCTTTCAAAATTTTGCACGTGGAGGATATGAAACAAAATAGTTTTTTTATGTTTTATATATACACACAGTTGAATAACCCAAAAATCATAAATTACAATATTAATACCATAGAATTCCACTATAATTTATAAAGCTTAGTAACTAAACTGTATTTGGGTGTAAAAAAAATATGAAATTTTGAGCAGACTAAAGACACAACCTACCTCCTTGAAATATTGGTTGGAAAGTAAGAAATGGCACTGTAACACTTTAAAATGGCTGAGAAAGTCACTAGGGGGACATTCTGAGCTTTCAATTATTTATTCACATGTCATGTACACAAGTAAGTGTATATAAGGGAGGGTTTCCAAAAATGGAAAGAGGTGAGCGGGGCCACAGTGTTTGATTTATTACATGAGTGATATCTAACCAAATAGAAAAGCTAGGAGGTTCTTATTTTATATTATAGCTTGTCAATGTCAGTAATCTGAGTTCCTATTTCGTAAGAAACTATAGACTTTTTATTTAGACATTACAAACATCTAATTTGAACCAGTGCTGCATTCAACATACCACATGACACATAAAAATCAATGTTTATCTTTTAAATTAAATTAAGTAATGTATGATACTAAAATTTGAATTATAATCTACAGTTTCATACCAATCTTATTGGCATAAATTCATAAAATAGTCGTTCAATAAAATTTTGAATGCAAGTCAACAAACACGGTGACATGGCCTTTGACCCATGACCTGCAGAGATAGGGTTAATTAATAATTTTAAAGTAAAATTTCTTTATCATTTTGCTGTAGATAGAATATGAATAAGTGATCATATTTCTGACATTCATCAGTTTTTTTCTTGTACTCTCCAAATATGTTTTCTGTAAAACTTTGTGTATTTCATAAAAATTTTCTATCTTTTAAACTAACCATATCTGTTGTGATAACTATCCAATATCAAGGAAAACTTTCTGTCTGTCTGTGGATACATCTCCTAAATGTGTTAACTGATCCAGACCAATTTTGGCATGGTAACTTAGTAGCCAAAAACAAAACAAATTCATATTAACTCCTTAAACCCAAGCAGATGCTGTCAGTGTCTGTCTGAAAATCCCAATTTAACCATCTGACAGTGACATTGTCTGATAACATTTGTGTCTCTTTGGCTGAAAACTAATCCAAACCATGTTATTATCCATCTTTTATAAACAGACTGGAAAATTTTATAAGGTATGGTGATAATTGTTAGGGTATCATGAAAATAATTCTGGCAGAATGTGCAAAAAATTGTGGGTTTAAAAGAGTTAAAGTTTCCCATATATATTGAAAAATACACTTTTTTATAGAATAACCCCCAAATCTTTACTGTAGTAGCTATTGTAAATACCTGAGTTTGAACAAAACTAGCAACACAACAAAATTCTACAAGTCAAAGATTGTAAATAAAATCTTCAGCATTTTGGCTTGTTTCTCATAATAACTAAAATATTTAGTGAAAAAATATCACTCTACAATGTGAAGAATAAGTATACTACTGCTGTTTAACTTTTCTGCTCTTTTCTTATTCACACCATTTAACTTCTGGTTTATACTAGGGTTAGAATAAACACTTAAGCCTGAATTAGATAAGTATTTCATATTTTTTAGGATATTTCGTACTTCTTAATAAAGAATATAGAAGCAAAATTTGAGATTATTATTAAATTTAATGCATTAGATATACCAAATTCAGTTAGTAGAAATCTTGACGACATCTCTACTTTGAATTGTGCTGCTTTGAACAAGAAGTGACATAACTGATTTGCCACTTTTGCTAAGTTTCTCAACTCTGCTGTCACACCTCCTCACTTCCAATCCACTTTCTGTCTCACAACGTTTGTTTGAAGAAGAAATGCTAGTGAAAATCCTCACAGATATTTTACTAATTTTTAGCTAATTTGTATGTGTTTTCCACATTTTTCATAGAAAAAAAAGACAGAGGTGTGCAGACTTAAAATATCTTACAAAACTTTTAAAGTACGTTACAAGAGCTTCAGAAAAAAAAAAGCCCATTATGGACCGAGTTCACTTGTAGAATTTCACCAGATCTGTCAGGCTTTCATCAAGGGCAGAGCAAAGTATGCAATTTACCACTCTGAAAATTAGTGAACTTGCACATGTACTTAATTTTCATGCATGTGTCATGGGTAGTGTACTTTTTTTAACAAATAATTTCTTGGTAAGTGAAGTAAATGTTGTATTTGTTGTCTTAAAGTTCGTGTAACAGATGTGTGAATATAACTTATAGATAATAACAGATCATTTGGTCTTTCAATGCTGCTTTTGTATATCCATCACCATTAAACCTACCATTCAGTTGCAAGGAACGATCGATTTCATCTTGTATGTTTCAATATTTAAAACTGTAACACAAAGTTTTGAGCATGGTTCTTGAAGGTTCAGAACATGATTATAAACCATAATGTGAAAACTTACTACAGCAATGTTTAATTGACATGATCTAGAAATGATCAGATATTGACTGAAGCCTTGACTGGATTGTTGGATTAATTGATTTTTGGAATAATGCAAAATAGTAATTTTGATTAGTTCATTATTTTAGTCACACTCAATTACAAATTTTCATGACATTAATAAATTTAGTCATAATTTGAATTAATCAATTAGTATGTGTGACACTGTTCAATGTAATAGCTGCTCATAGGTAATTGGTAATATTGATTAACTGATTAAAGTTCCAGCTCTCAGTGACATGGTAAAGTGAACTTAATGGCACTTGGAAGCCGGACCTGAACTTGGAAGATAAACCGAGACTCCACATTAGATAGGAGATAATGGAACTACACATGGAAGAGAGACATTATAATTACATGTTGTAGTAGAGTGACGCTAGAACTACCCGTTGTAGTAGAGTGACGCTAGAACTACCCGTTGTAGTAGAGTGACGCTAGAACTACCCGTTGTAGTAGAGTGACGCTAGAACTACCCGTTGTAG